AAACTTGAGCCGCACTATGAGAAAACCAAGATAATGCGTTTGCGACCAGCATGGATTCTAGACTAGCCTGTGCATTCGCGCAGTTTGACCAGGATCCATGCTGTTTCGCTATCAATTTCTCTATTTGTAATAGGGTATGCAGGCGAACAGCATTGGATCATGATCAGACTGCGCGGATGCATTATCTTGGTTTGTTGCAGCTCAAATAATTTTTCGAAATTGTAATAACGATATATTTAAATAATTTAAAATTATTCATTTTTACAAATAAAGTCCTTGAGCTAGGTCATTTATCATCAAGATTTACTTTCATCATTTTTATCGATTCATAAGATATATACTCAGGAAAATTTGCGATACAATACAATAACAAAATATACAATAATTTATATAAAAAAACATACCTGCTTCAGCAATTTCTCCAATATAAGCTGTAAATGAGCCGCTAAATATTGCGTTTGTTATCATTCACATCTTGTAAAATAATTGATGTTAAATAACGTTTCTGCTGATGTCCCATCACTCACTCTTACATCACAAAAAAAAAAAGCATGTGTGTTGTAATTTGTTTTCGAGCGATATAAGAGTTAAAGAAAATATTTTTTTTTTAAATAATACTTTCACATTAATGCAGATAAAATATGTTATCATATTCAAAAAACTAATATTTACATTATATACAATGTAAATAAATTTAAATTCCAGCATTTTAGAACAATAAAGATTTTGTTTTTTTAAATTTTACATCAGTTTATGAAAAAATATTCTTACTCTAAAATAATCGCATACGTTTCAAAAAACGCCCACTTTCTTATATTCAAATGTGTCAGTTGTTACGCCAGCTTTAACTTTTAAAATTCGTTTCCTTTTCCCCAAAAAAAAAGTCTTAGAGCCTAAACCAAAAATATAATATTAAATACATTACCACATTTTAAAAATTTGTTTCTAGCATAGCTATGGAGTAAAAAAGGTCAAAAACAAGTCAAGGATACGAAATACTAGGAAAAAAGTTTTATCTGTTAAAAACATATATTTTACAAAAGAAACAACATATTATTAGACATTTTGGGCCCAAAAGGGGTAAGGGTCTGTTTTTAAAATTTTTATTTTTGTTTAAAAAAGCTCCCGAAAATTTTGAAAAACTTTAAAAAGGGGGCCAAAAAAAGCCCCTTTAAAAATGATTTTACATCCCGCAAATGAACAAACATGCGCTTTTAAACCCTTTTGAGTAATGAGAATTTATGTTACCCTCACTTAAACCTCGCGATATGACGTAAAAAAATAAGAGAAAACCATTCAAAATACATGAAACATTTTGATTTACTATGAGATCAGGGTTCAACCTTTGCTTCACCTTTAAAGCTTATAACAGATAATAACCTCTCTTAATTTTAATGGACTTGTTTTGACAGCATGAGATAGATATTTATTTCAGGTTAAAACACACATACATGTACATGTATACATAATACAAACACTTAAGCATTTTATATAAAACTGATGACACAATTGTAATAAAATATTTCAGAAGTTTGTCAAACATAAATATCACAGACGGCTCATTAAATAATAAAATATTATAACTAAAAACAAAATCTAAAACTCTTTCTTTCCTATGACTAGATATCAATTTACTAGTTTAATAATATGTGACGACGTAAGTGGAAACATGTATAGAGTAGTGTGCAATAACATCGGATTGCCCATGAAAGCCCGAAGGCTTATTTCCAATTGGGTCCTTGGATATATACTTACTATAATATACAATATAAAACACAAAAACATTGAAAAATACAAAACTTTGGAAACTGGAAGATGTCATTTACGTAAAATATTCAAACTTTAGTATTTTCCATTAACTTTGCTTAAAAGGAAAACAATAAAAAATGAGATCAAATATCTAGTCATACTAGTGGATTTAATTATGATTTCCTTACCTAACTGTTCTAGTAAATGGGCCTTTACTGAGCTTTTTGAAATCTCCTATCTTATTAATTTTTTTTGATGCATGTTGGCAAGGAATTCCAATCATTAATTGCTTTTTGAAAAAAAAGTTACATTATCTTTCCCATAACTTCTTGGGGACCCTAAAATTGTACTGATTCGACCGACTTGAATAAGAATGAAATGTCTCTAACAGGTATAAAATTTTCTATCATATATGAAGGGTACTGGTTATTAACAATTTTAAAAACATGATTAAGACGTAATTGCTTATTTCTGTTTTCTACATTTAGTAAAGACATATTAGCAAGAATAACATTATTGACACTATCTCTAGGTCCCATACCGTGTATAAATCTAATGATTTTATTTTGACAAATTTGAAGCTTATTTTTAAAACACTTGTTCAGGCTCGGGTACCAAGAAGAACATGCATAATCAAGGTGACATTGTATTAGTGCTGAGCATAATATTTTCTAGTCCTAAAATCTAAAGCATTTGCTTGCCTATACAAAAACATAAGACGTGAATTCACCTTTGTAAGAATATAATTAACAATAGAATAACCTGACAAAGAATCATCAATATTTAAACCTAGATATTTAACAGATTTTGTGGATTCAAAATAATGTCCATTACAAACAATTTTAAACTCTTTAACTTGTTTCAGTTTACGTTTAGAACCAAAAATAAGACATTCAGTCTTTCCTAGATGAAGTGACAATTTGTTATCTACAAGCCAAGATGAACAAGACTCTAGTGTTTGTCCAAGTTTTTTAGAAATAATACTTGGATTTTTGTGAGCAAAAAAGAATTGCACTGTCATCGGCATACAGAATAAGTTTACATTCTTGATCTATACTAATTCTCATGTCATTTACATAGCACAAAGATAAAAGAGGACCCAGGATGCTGCCCTGGGGAACCCCACATGTAACAGGCATGTACTCTGATAAAATATTATCAACACTAACAGTTTGTTTTCTACCTTTAAGATAAGACATAAACCAGTCAGTATTAGAGATACCCATCAATTACAATTTTCCACATACAATATCATGGTCAACAGTATCAAATGCTTCTTGTAGATCTAACATTATCATGCCTGTGTATAAACCTTTGGAATTATTGTTTCTGATATGATCCATAAGATGGATAAGACAAGTGTCAGTGGAATAGGAATTTCTAAAACCTGACTGTAATTCATACAATAAACCATTATCAACTAAAAACTTTTCAAGTTGAGAATACACTGATTTTTCTAAAATTTTTGATACAATGCTTTTTATATACAAATGTCTCAGACACATGTTTAAGTACATTTTATTATTCTTAGTATTTCTATCATTATAAAAATCTAACAAAGCTTGTGAGTCAATGTCAAACTTTTTACTAGCACAAGGTAACTTATCCACTAGCTTAGAAGCAACAGTGTTAAAACAGTCATTTAAATGATTAGCAATTTTTGAAGGATTATGACAATTTTCACTATCAACTTTTAAAACAATATTTTCATTCCCCGTGTTTTGGATTTATACCCCAATTGTTTTAAATGTTTCCATAGGCCTTTTGGTTTATTTCTATTTTCAGCAATTTGATCAGTAAAATAAGAAGACTTAGCATGTTGTACTTCTCTTTGAACAACATTTCTAAATTTACAATAACAAGAAAAATCTTCATGGCAACCATATTTTCTAAACTTGTATAAATAATGATCTCTTTGTAATCTCTGATGACATCCACTGTTCAGTTCTCTGTTTTAATCTAATTTCTTTAACAGGAGCAATGGCATTCAACACTGACATAAAAATATCTTTAAGCTACCTATCAACTGTTTACATTATCAGAATAAAAACATTTACTCCAGTCTGCTTGGCCTAGTTTTTCAATAAACAAATCTTTACTATAATTTTTTACACATCAAACTTAAGAGAAATTATGTTTTGAGAAACTTTGCTTGCTGATTTTCCTTGTACAAAAAGTCAAAAAGTGATCACTAAGACCAATAGAAATAACACCATATTGACTTAGCCTATCTTTTGAATTGGTAATGATATGATCAATTATACTTTTGCTTGATAAAGTAATTCTAGTGGCTTCAGTAATGATCTGTTGTAGATCAAAATTTTTCAAAATGCTAGTGTAGGATTTAAAAATTGCATGCAATATAAACAAATAAAACAAAGTTACATGAGGAGTAGGTTTTTTTAAATTGCATGGCAAACTTTGATTTTGCTTGCAGTTGAGGGGTGGTGAATTGGTGAGTCGACAGTAGATGAAAACATCAGGGGAAGTGGGGTATCAAATACTAAACAAATGAAATCATAAAAAGACTATATAAAGATTAAAATGATTTTGAAATCATATTGTATAACTCACACTTTTATCCATGTTAAATGATAAACCTGCAGCCTCAGTATCTTCGTCAGTGGCTGACAGTATCAGAATAACGTCCCCAGCTTTAGAAGTCTCTAATAAATCTATAACGTGGTCATCAGCTGTTGAGTCGGGATTTGGCTTGATCCATACAGGTTTTTTAGCTGTAAAAAATTTGAAAGATTCATCATGTATTTTAACATAAATTACGGCCATTGGTTTTTGTGTTAAGCATGTGAAGGCCCAAATTACACTGTATCATACAATTATGCAATAACAACATTATCAACAACAACAACAATAATAATAATAAATTTAATAATAATAATAATTAAAAGCGGATAAATAAAATGACGAAGAATATAATGCGGATGTAAGCTTATTATGTGTATTGTAAACAACTTGTTTTACGCAGCCTTTTCAAAATCTTTACAGCAGCTCCATCCAATGTATATATATATATATATATATATATATATATATATATATATATATATATATATATATATATATATATATATATATATATATATATATATATATATATATATATATATAAACATTTTCATTCAGTATTATGTTTAATGTCTTTTTAAAACGTTTCTTTGCATATATACACTCACGATTATCCAATCAAATGTATCGTTTACGTTTAAATAATGATGATTTAATTATTTGTTCGTCGTGCGATTTGTTTAAAGTAACATTGTCAATTTATTTTTCAAAAAGTTTTGGGACGGAATGTCGGAATTAAAGACGGAAAGAGTTAAAATTTATATAATTTGTTACGTAGGCCTACATGGCATATATTTTATCTGTGCAACTACCAAATTTGACTGTGAACAAATAATCTTAATGAACTATCTTATGCTAGCGAAACACAAATGCTTAAGATGAGGCTGTTTTTGGTTATGTCGTATGTATACACAGTTCTACTTTAGTTATACATATGTCTTCTGACCACAAGTGATAAAAGTTGTTATTTTGACCTCGCCATTTCGTCATTCATGATATCAGGAAACTGTATTTCCTTATCTTTTTTTAATAGTTTTTGTGTAATTACCATATAGCGTCATAAATTAATGCACAAGTTTTAAGCACTTCTTTATTATGCGTCAGATAATGTTTTAAAGTGTAATTGCTACATTTTCAAAACCAGATGTGTACTATATGTGTTACATTGGACGCGAGGATATTAAGGAAACCAATAAAGAAAATGATTATATCTCAGATGAAATTTTGCTCTTTACTATAACGTATTTATACCTTCCATAAATGTCTCTGTTCTCTATTGATGGAAGTGTCGATGGGGCTTTTGAAGAATATAATATTAACGCTAAAAACAGTCGTAAGACACAGTGTGAGCAGGCTTTTATTTAAAATTTAGAGGTATTTATTACATGCATTTCGGTGGTTTATAGAAAAACATCAGTGATATAAAACTGGTAATTTCACTGTTTTAAACAGTTAAATTATCAATTTGATAATTTCACTGTTTTGAATTTTAGCCCCTTACGTTGTTTAAGTGAAATACCAGCGTACACAGTACTAGGAACCAACTTAATGACGTGACGTCGTAAATGACGTCACGTTGTATTATTATTTGGCGCGCTTTTCATTCAGTATTAGGTTTAATGTCTTTTTAAAACGTTTCTTTGCATGTAATAAAAAGAAAATTTGTTTAGTTTAGTGTAAGATAGAAATATATTTCACCTTGTAAACACCAAAAGTTCATATTTTACTCGTGGCTGCGCCACTCGTGAAATATACCTTTTGGTGCTCACTCGGTGAAATATATTCGATCTTACACTGAACTAAACAAATATCCTCTATATAACCACGACAAAATAATTTTACAAAACGTACGCTATACAATCTGAGTACTTCAAGTGCATAAATTTTATATGAACAATATATAATACAACAAACAAATATTTGATAAAATGCATTTATTATATTCTTATAGAAAAATTCCGATCAGTCTCTAAACATTATGAACATCCGACGTAAAGTCATATGACCCTATAACAGAAAACCAATTTCGATGCCATTTGCTTTAATCGAATTCAAAATACTTATTTTTACAGTTATAAAAGACTGAATCAAAGTATGTTTTTAAACTTTTTTCTATAACCCAGAATTTCATGAGATCAACTATCTGACTTATTAAAAATAATTGGTCCAAAGTAGAAGGTTTATAATGTCATAAATAATTTTGTGAATAGTATGTAGCATCCTTATTGACAACAAACCACAAAATAATTATATAAAAATGGTGTCACATTACACATCTGTATATAGCAGATAATGTTAGTTATAATACTGCACGTTTGTAACATCGGGTTTCATTGGATTATCGTGATGTGTAGTTTTATTATCCTGTTATTTAAATATCTGTAACATAATATAAATTTTTGTATATATATATAAAATAACCCCAACATGTTTGACCTTTTTTATTAAAATGAAGAAAATCTATTCTTTCATGATGCGCCACTAAACGATAACAAGATTTTATTTTCTTTGCATATTTACAAGACAAAGTACAAAATAAGTTTAAATATTACATAAAGATTTTATCACTGACTATATGAGTAAATTAACGTTTCAAATAAAACCATAACACGTAAAAGTAATATAGCAGGATATTTACGTTCTTCTGGTAATCCCTGCACATTTATTGTCACTGTAATAGTAGCTTCAGTGTCGGCCGTTCTTGGATAGTAGTATGCACTGTGGAAGGTAATGAACAAATAAAAAAACGAAAAAAAGAAAAGAAAATGCGTTATGGTTGTAGAAATGAGAATCGTAAAAATGTATTTTACTCTTTTTTCAATTTTATGGACGAGTATATTGAAGAGATATGATTACTGTCACAGAATATGCAATAAAGCGTACTTTTGTATATCACCGCAGGCAAAATTAGATCTCATTTGATGTTCACTTTATAACAATATATAGGTTAAAATTAATGTTCTAATGTCCTTTATGTATAGGTTTTAATTTCTGATGTCTAATGTATCCGTTCGTTCATTCATCAACATTAGTTTTCTTTTTTTTCTTCACTCACTCACTCACTCACTCACTCACTTATTCACTCACTCACCAACTCACTCACTCACTCATTAAGATTTAATTTCATTTCATTAATGCTGATTACCAAACACTAAGCGATACACAATTATGCGTTATTTGAAATCGAAGAAGTCTGAAAACAATTGCATGCTATTTGCATTTAAGAACAATATTATTACCCAAGAATCACTTGATACTGAGATGCTTTGATATTATTCTTTTCACACTTGATCATTTTTTCGGACGAAAAATGATCTGTCACACTGAACGCACTATCGTCCGGTGATTCAGACACTTTTCTAAAATAAAAAGCAAAATCATAAGAAACAACAAAATAATGAAATGGATAAGTTTAGTTTAATTAAATTATTTTAAGCTCGATTGCGAAACAAGTTCTTGCAACTTATATTGGTCACTTTCGAGCCGGCTTCCTGGAACAAACAAGTACTGGTGTCATTTAAAGAAACATGGTCGTGACCAAAGTAAGGCTCGAACCGATAATCCCTGGGGATTACACACAAACTTAAACTTGATTAATGAACACATCTACATATGTACAAATAATTAACTTTGTTCATAATTAAATGAAAATTGTTTATTTTTTATTGAGTTTAGAAATGTAATTAGCACAAACATCACAGTAAAGTATATATCCACCAACCAAGCCTATGTCTTATATATTTCTATCAGCAAAAAACAGATATGAATAATTTCATATAATCAAGATTACATTATCATGTCAATGATCAATGATTTTTTCTGAAGTGGATAAGGCTTGTTATGGATTTTTC